ACCATCATCAATGCTAGGAATATTCCTGTTACTGAGCATTCACTGCGACATAATACATGTTCACACAGTACTCCCCTTCTGTGCCTGCACAGCTACTCGCTAATACTTTGGTGTAGAAACCGCTGAGGGGACTCCAGATCTTGGTACGATGGAGTAGGCTCTTTCCACCTGGTGCAGCTATGAAGCCTGGAGGGAAAGCACGAGGCAGCTCCTGAGATTCTGGAACGTCAGTAATGGCAGGTGGTGGGGAAGACAACCAGAACCTGCTGTGCCATCAAACCTGCACTGAGTTGGTCATTTCCCCTCTCATGTCCTCCAGCCTGGGCTCGAGGCAGCCTGGCCCCTGACAGTGGCCAGGGCATGGACAGACGGCTCAGGGGAGAACGCTAGTTCTGGCTCAGAGAACAGTAAAGTAGACAATTAGTGCTCAGAAAGAGTGGGGCCACCGTGTCTCTTCTCTCTCTTCTGTGTCCTCAGACCTCAGTCTGCAGGGTCCTCAAGCACCGACAGCTCCGAGGGAGGGGCGGTAAGACGAACAGTGGCTCCCAGGACATCCACGCCCTAACCCCTGGTGCTTTATGGAACAAAAGGGATTCTGCAGGTGTGATCAGTTTAAGGATTTGAGATGATGTTGTCCTGCATTATGCGGGTGACCCAGTATGATCACGAAGGTCCTCATAAGAGGGAGGAGGTCAGACACAGAGCAGGGGGGAAGCAGACCTGGAGTGTTGCAAGGAAAGAAATTCAGCCGGAGTCTCCAGAGGAACCAGCCTGCTGACACTGATTGGACCAGTGACAATTCTGGACGCTGGCCTCCAGAACTGTAAGAAAATACATTCGTGTTGTTTTAAGCCACCTGCGTCTGTGGTGTTTTGTTACAGGAATCTAATATGGGGGAAATCTTCCTCTCCAATCAGAAGAGCTGGGGTCCCCTTTCCTCTCTTACCCTGCTCTGGGCCCTGGACAGGGGTGCTGTCATGCAAGAATTTAGCCTTGACCCAATCCTCACACCTCATACCAAAAACCCAGGAGAAATCTTTGTGACCTTGGTTTAAGTAAAGCATTCTTAGGCAGGACATCAAAAGCATGATTCTTAATAGGAAAATTTGAGAAGCTGGATTTCATCAACATCAAAGAGTTCTGTTATGCAAATGACACCGTGAAGAAAAAATGAAAAGGCAGGCTACAGACGGGGAAGAAATATGTGCATATCACCTATCTGATGAAGGACCTGCGTGCAGAATATACAGAGAACCATCAAAGCTCAACAGTAAAACAACAAACAACCCAACTTTTAAAAATGGGCACGAGACTCGGACAGACATTTCCCCAAAGAGAACAGAGCTAAGAAAAATAAGAACATGAAAAATGAGCAATATCATTAGCCGTTAGGGAAATGCCAACAAGGCCACGATGAGAGTAGATGCCAAATGCTGGTGAGGGGGCAGCGTATCTGCAGCTCTCTCATGCATCGAAGGTGGGAATGGACCATGAACAGCCACTGCAGAACACAGCTTGGCGGTTTTTCACACTTACCACCCCACCCTTAGGTATCTGCCCCCGAGAAATAAAGCCACGCACTTGTATTAGCTCTATTCAAATTGTCCACAACTAGAAAAAATGTAAGTGTCTTTGTGAACGGATAAACAAGCTCTGGTAGATCCATATGTTTATCCATATAATAGAATACTACTCAGCAGTAAAAGGAACTAACTACCGATATACCCCACCACGTGGATGAGTCTCAAAGGAATTGTGCTGAGTGAGAGGAGCAGGGGGTTGCTTACTGTACGATTCCATGCAGATGACATGCTCAAGAAGACAAAGCCGTAGCGACAGAGCAGATCAGCCGCTGCCAGGGCTCGGGGCCGGGGAGTGTGTGACCACAGGGAGGCACAGAGCTGTCTGTGTGATGGAACTGTCCTACATCCCGACTGTGAGGTGGCGGTTACTCAGATCTACATGTGTATTAACATGCAAAGAACTGAACACCAAAAAAGGTCCATTTTACTATCTGCTAAAAGTGTTTTTGTTTTTTGATGAATCAAGGCAGGTAGGACTGCAGTCAATATATTAAGGCCCTAACTCGGCCTTCTGAGGACACAGTGGCGTGGCCCCCCTCTGAGCCCTCTGCTGATTTACAAGCCATCTGGGCTCCAATCATTAGGCCTCCTTCCATCTTCTGACTAGCTGAAATATCGTTTGCAGAATTTCACAGCTGTGCCCCCACCCCACCACTCATACCCTTTCCCACCCTACCTAGGATGAGCTATTCATCTGTGGTAGATGCAAAACCAGCCCCAGTTACCCCTCTCTGTGTCGTGTCCTTGGCCATGTGACTCTGAGGTGCCCTCCTACTCTCACCCTGGTCTCTGTCTTGGCCAATGGGATGTTAGCAAACACGACATAGTCAGAGCTTGGAAAGTGATTCAATGATTGGGCTTCCCTGGCTCTCACTCTCTGCTATGCATTCCCAGGCTCACCCACTGGTCCCAGGCAAGGCCCTCCTGGACCAGTAGACAGGTAGCTGCTGCCCAGACATGGAAGCCAATGCAGCCCAAATCAGCGGAGCCCTTAGCCCACCACCCAGTGCACGAGCAGTATGTCCTCGTTACTGAATGCCACCAAGCACACAGTGGTTGTTCACAGCACAGCACTAACAGGGCCGCAGGTAACTGATACATAACCCAGCGCAGTAACCCTTCCCAGTGATCACCCCTAGACAGCCTTCAAAAGTGCACGGCAATGCAGGATCCTGGGAAATCGTGTGACCCACTGAGAAGAAAGCTATTCCAGAGATGGATTATACTTCGGTGGACGAGATAGGGGTGCAGCCTCACCCCCCTGCTGTTAGAGAAGGGTTATCACCATTTCTTTTACTAACCCAAAATAGGACGGAGGTTACTGTGCCCAAAATAACCCAACCTGCTTCCCTGGCTCCAAACTGCATTTTCAGATGCTCTAATGTTTAAAAATATACGACATGAAGTAGGGCAAGCAATTGTAATAATAACTAAGCTTTCAGCTCAAATAATTTTGAGACTGAAGTGAGGGTCTGAACAAAGAAGGGAAATGCAACTGCAGCTGAAATAGTCCCCCGGGAGACGCTCCTACTAGGTGCCATTTCACGTAATCCTCTCGGCCACCTGGCGAGGTTTACTGGCCCCCTTTTATAGACAGGAAAACTGAGGCATGGAGAAATCAAGGTCACAGTCCACTAGGTAGTAGAGCTGGCATTTGAACCTAGATCTGTCTGACTCAAAGTCTTGCTTTCAACTTGAATCATAAAGAAATTAATGACAGAGCTTTGGCTTACCTGTGATAATTAACCTGACTATCCATCAAACTGAACAGTTTACTGGGGTGAAAGGAAGGTCCGTTATGTTGGCGGAACCTGGCACTTTGCAGCCTGGTCTCTGGGCTCAGCAATTCAGGGCTTGGCCACAGGGATGCCACCTTGATGCTAATGAGATCAGAGAGCCTGTCTCCCGATCAACCTGACTGATATGTGGGAAGAAAAGGAGTGACTCTGGTGGGAGACTCGTGGAGAAATGTATGCTGTCTCCCGAATGCCCTCAGGGAGGTGGTGCTGTGAAAACCCCACACTCCAAGGTCTGCCCTGGTGGCAAGGGGCCCAGAATGAGCTGTGGACACTCCTGCTACCAACAGAAGCGATTACTGCTCTCACGGTGGCCACAGCTAAACTAGCCAGTGCTCACTAGGTGCCCGGTTGAAGCGCGCTGGCAGTGACTTGTTAAATCTTAGAATCTGCCTCCTGAGGCCTGTTATCTGCCCCATTTTACAGATGGGGAAACCGAGGCACACGTCCTTCAAGGGTGCAATCCAAGTTCACCACGCCAATAGATGGCATGGCCTCAGCTGAATGCCAGGCCCGCGTGGCTGCAGCCCGTTCTATTGACAATGCCGTTCTGTCTGCACCTTCCACGTGACAGCCCTAGACCAGGCCATGTCCCAGACCCTAACAGGACGGCTGTTTCCACTGCATTATTGACTTCTCCACCTGTCTCCCCAGAACAAGCCACTGAGAAAAACAGCCACAGCTTGTCACGGCATGTTCTCACGTGTGAAAATAAAGCAACCACCGGGAATCCTGCTCTCACTGGCAGCCGTGACCTGCAGGACCTGCTGAGTGACGCGGCTGGGCCCGTAGTCTGCACTCAGAGGAGGGTTTCCAGGGCCAGAGCAGGACGCTGGCTCATTTTTTTGGTGCAGCTAAAACTTCCTGTGCATATTCGGTTAACGCAGAGCCACGAGGGCCGTGGCTCACAAGCAAACATTAGGAAGAGGAGAGTAGGGTGTGGTGTTGAGCTCAGGTGTCAGACCACCTCTCTGCCGGTCAAAGCCCTGCTCCTGAAGCCCCCTCAGCTCCATTTCCCAGGCCTTTCTGTGCAGCATTTACTCCAGGAGTTAGCCCCAGAGAGGGCAGCACCAGCAGCAGTGGTGGGGTGGGGGTGGGGGTGGGGGTGCGGTGGCGGTGGCGCCTAACTAATGTGTGGGCTGAGGCCACAGCAGGGAAGGTGAAACCCGTGGCCACAGCCCACACCGGGGTCTGAGGGGAGAGGCAGTGTGGTCCATGAGCCATGACGAAGCGTAGGCTTCTCAGCGAGGGGCAGGGAGGACCCACCTTCAGACCCAGACCTTGGAAATGGGCAAACGTGGAGATATTTGAGTCTCATTACCCGCTTCATTCTGACATCATGGTGCACAGAACAGCGGCTGCCAAAGCCTGACTCAGCTCCCACTCCCCCACATCTCAGCTGTGGGACCACGGCCACGTCACTGTCGGGGGCTGGGGAACAAGGACACTACCTCACAGTAGATGTGAAGACAACACAAGAAGGGCCCCAGTCTGATACCTGCCTCTTCCCCTCACCTCCTTCTTGGCCGTGGAGCCGGGGTTTGCAGCTGCTTAAACCAGGCCCAGGGACACCCTGCCCGGCTGGGTCCAGGCTGCTCCACCTCGCACCACTGACCTCAGACAGGTAGCTGTTGGGAGGGTGTCTAGCAGCACCCCTACACTCCACCACTGGATTCCAGTGGCAGCCCCGCACCCCAGTGTGACAGCCAAAGATGCCTCATTCATTGCAGCATCCACGGGGTTGGGGAGCAAGGCAACATTGCCCGCAGTTGGGAACCACGGGTGAGAGAACAAGGAAGCTCCATTAGCTTAGCAGTGAGTGAGAGTAAGAACGCCAACAAAATAGGAAGAAATGGCCCCACAGCAACTGCTCTGCATGAAACCCTCCAGGTAAACTGTACCCATGAACAGAAGGTGTGCCTTGACCTTAACAGGTGAGATGCCCAACTGCCTTCAACCCTAATGACCAGGGACCAGTTCCCTGGAATAGATGCCCTGCCTCCGAGAGCCCCGTCCCTGTGAGCTGCTGGAGATGCCGTAATTCCAGGTGTTTCCACAGGTGCACATGCACCGCCCACGGCCTTGCAAAGGCCAGAGACAGGAAGAACTGCCAGAGCAGACCCACAGGCAGGCCCTTTGCCCAGAAGAGGCAGCACTTCCACGCGGGGGGGTGGGGGTGGGGGGACAGGTGACGGGATGTGCTTGGGTCTGGAGCTAAATCTACCGCCTCACTGGACGCACCCCTGAGCAGGCCCCAGCTGTTCAGGGAGCTCAGTCAGATGGCCAAGGGGCTCTGGCCTGAGGGCCTGGCGTCAGCCACACGGTCGATCATCACTGTCCCCGGGACTGAGGGGTCTCCCCTCCTCCCACCTGCAGTTCTCCAGCTGCTGGACAGACCTAACGCATTAGACTTTTAATCCCCAATAGGCCACATGTGGCCCCCAGAGATTTTGTTCGGCTCACAAATTAGTTTCCAGCTAATTTAAAAATCAAATTTTATATCTACTAATCTGATATATCCGCCATCTCCTAAAAATGCAAAGAGCTGACAGCTGCAGTCCCACACAGCAGTCATCGCCTGGGGGGAGCAGTGGCGGCCTCTCGGACGGGCTCTGTGAGCTCCACTCCCCACCCCTCCCTGCTGTCACACTGTCCGGCTTTATCCCTTAAATGACCGCCTCTTTTCCTACAGGCGCCTGGGTCTGCCCTGGTTCCAGTCGATAGGGGTGCACCGGGGTGTTGCTCTGCTGACCCCAGATGCTGGGAAGATGCTAAGCGTCAAGATGCTGAAGGATCATGAAGCAGGTCAGGAGGGGCCCTCCCACGGGGGCAAGTCTGTCCAATGAAGGTGTCAGTCCTGGTGGAAGCTGCTTCCTCTCCCGAACAGTAGCCCCGATTAATAAAGGTGGGGAGAAGAAGTAGAAGCTAAGAAAGCCTCGTGGAAAAGCCTGCCATGGGGAAAAGGTTTCCCCTTTAGCTTCTACAGGCATGTCCAGGGACCCTTGACCTGGGGGAGGCATCAGTGCCTGGCCCTCTGTCGTGTGTAAATGAAGCACCAACACATCAGAAAGGGCCTCTGACCTAAGATATCCCAGGACCCGAGTGACTACGGTTCCCGTCACTGACATCCAGGCGAACTGTGCACAGCGCTCCTGACAGAACTAACTGCCCCCACCTCCCCATCACCTCTGACACCTACAGGCCCCAGAGCCCAGTCCCCAGGAGGCAGGCCTGTCAGAGGCGGGGCACTGCTGAGCAGGGGGGAGCGAACCCCTTCCCACTGGGAGGCATGCTGGGCAGGCTAGGGCTGCCAGGCTGCTTCCCCGCCGCAGCCCTCGAACGACTTGTGCACAGGGCTCTCCACGCGAAGAGGGTGACAGTTGTGCTCTGCCACCTGCTCTGTGGTTCCAGCCAACTTGGCAGCGAAGAAGGAGGACAGCTTGCTATTCTTGACGCTCTGAGACTAGCTGCTAATTCGGCGGGAGGCTTCTCTGGGAAACACCTCCCGTTGCAACTGACCCAGTTCTTCCATCTCCCCCCACCCCGCCCCCCATGCTGGGCTGGTGCCACACCGCCACCCGGTCCCCAGCTCCCTTATTCCCTGGGCACCGCCCCACCTCTGTGACTCCCATTCCCAAGTTTGTGTCAGGAAATCGCACCCCAAGGAGTGGATGCAACCCCAAATTCCTGAAAGAGGTGACTCTGGGATTTGAGAGCACGAAGTCAGAATTCCTGGGATTCCCAAGAATTCCCCAAATCATAACTTAGCCTGAAGATATTCCCAACATCCTTCATCCTATTCATTTATTATGGTGGAAAACTAAAATGATTTGCTTAACAAATAGGAAATATTTAGCTTGGTGGTATTTACCAAGAATCGTAGCCTGGAGCAAATATTCAAACACTGGAAAACACAGTGAACGCTGGTGGGTACTTTCGAATGACAATGCACAGAACCTCTTGTCCAAATCGAAGTCGCTAGTCTAGTCCAGAACCTATGTCTCGGACCGCCCTCACATCAAGCAGGCCGTGCACATGAATGTATTAGCGTTTGTTTTATTTGCAGGAAGGCTCGTCGTCTGCAGCAGACAGAGCCAGGACACACACCAGTAACAGGGCAGCAGCTGGAAAAGCCAGACTGACTAATGGGATCGTGACCACTTCCTGCCTATGAGCTCCTGTCCTGGTTCCTGGAAATGCTGACCTTCACCTCCAACTCTGTCCGCTCTTCCTGCTCCCGCGTCTCTCTCCTCCGTGTGGGTTCCTTCAAACCATGAATGTTGATTATTGCACTTATTTTTCACAGGAGAATTACAATACTGTTTCCTGATTTCTTGACTGATTTTCCTGAGATTTGGAAACGTAATGTTTCCAACCTGAGGACCTGATGTGAGCTCAGAGTATGCAATCCTAGAGCCGATCACACCTCTCTTGCTGGGCTCCCAACCTGCCCTCAGAGCCTCACCAGTTCCTGAACCCAGCCCCTCCTTTTCGCCTCCCCTGCTCCCAAACCAGCTTCCCTCAGCCTCTTCGCCATCATTTGCCTAGACATCCCGCCTCAGGCACTTAGCAGCAGCCCCTTCTCTCTGGGCTACTGTGAAAGCCCCCTGCCCCTCGCCCATCCCTCTATCCCCAGCTGCCACTGAGAGCCCCCCGAGGCACAGACCTGCTCTCAGAGGCTTCCCTTCTCAGAGACCAGGAAGGAAGCGCCCTCTGACCTGCCACCCTCAGGGCCCGGCCTTGCTTTCCAGAACAGCCTGACCACAGGGCGAGCGCCTGTTCCCCGGCCACGGCAGATGACATGAGCTCCTTGAACTTGGCAGCTGTTCTGCACATCTGGAAAGAACAGCTCCCCCTTCTGTGTCTCTGAAAATTCTGCATATCATATTGGTATGGGATGGTGGGGTTTGTGATGCCTGAAAGATTTAAAACTGCACATGCTACTGGAGCCAGAATCTCTCCTAAGAACCAGTCGTACAGACCTCCCTGCCGAAACGTGTACCTAGGGAAATGTTCCTGGCAGCACTGTCAGAGGGGAGATACCTGGAAACATCTTAAATGTTCAAACAGAGCAATGGTGCAATGAGTTACAAAACAGCCACTGCAGTGGATACTATTAGTTTTCAGAAAGAATGAGCCAGCTTTATAAATTCAAAAGGCAAACTACGGAACACTGTGCAGAGGTGGCTCTGGCTTACATAAGTATCGACAATTTCTGCAGTTACATAAGGAACTGACGGGATCACGGGTGGGGGTGGGGGCACGAGGCACTGCAGAGGGCGTGTGACGTTGATTTCATCTTACATCTTTCTGTAGTGCTTCAGGTTTTTAATACCGTAAGTTTATCACTTCCTCCAAAACGTCTGCTCCCCGACTCTCCTCCCCCGGGCTCCCTTTCTGCCGGGAAAGATAGTGACACACACAGAGCGTACTATGTGGAAGGGCTGCTCTAAAAGCCTGACATACTGCGCTCACGTAACCCTCACGCCACCCCATCCGGTGGATGCTACTGATGTGTCCACTGTACAGATGAGGACACTGAGGCCTCGGAAAGCCCGAGTGACCTTCTCGGGGCCACCCAGCTAGTCCACGGCAGGGCTGGGTACAGACTGGGCAGTCTGACACAGAACCAGGCACACTGCAAATTCCTGTGAAATACAGGAAAGATGTGCTGCCTTGTGGTATCATGACCATGCAGATGTTGGCCCCTGAGTGCTGGGCCCACGCTGAGTCATCCAGGCCCTGTAAAGAGTAGGTGCTCAATACATGCTTGTTGACTTGAATACAGTTTATATCGAGCAGCTTGGGGCATCTGTATCTCTGCCTGGTCTAGCAGGAGGATGCATGTCATAAAAGGCCTCTTCTCTCACACCTGGCAGCCAGTCCTCATCACAATTGCTCATCACACTGCCTTCTCGTTACCTTGGCCAAGTCACCAACATCTCCTACCAGGACCCTAAAAAAGCCCCGCAACCTGCCCCTTCAATTCCATTCTCTATCCCACATCCAGAGTAAGATTTTATAAACATAAACCAGGTCATGTCACACCCTGCCCCAAACCTTTTGGTGGCTTCCCAACTGACCTAGAATAAATCGCAGTCACTGCCATGGCCTTCGAGGCCCTACCTCTATGGTCTGGCCCTGGCAGCCTCCTCCCCAGTCTCACTGCCCTGCTCGCTCTCTGTTCTGGACACACTGGCATCATCGACGCATTCAGCTTGCTCCTGCCTCAGGGCCTTTGCACTTACCATTCCTTGTCTGAACGCCCTTCCCCAAGAAATCCACAGGCTCTTCCCTCATAGAGGCCTTTCCTGACCGTTTTATGGGAAACACCCTGTGTGATCCTCTAGTCCAGTGGTCGGCAAACTGCGGCTTGCGAGCCACATGCGGCTCTTTGGCCCCTTGAGTGTGGCTCTTCCACAAAATACCATGTGCGGGCGCACATGTATAGTGCGATTGAAACTTCGTGGCCAATGTGCAGAAGTCAGTATTTTGTGGAAGAGCCACACTCAAGGGGCCAAAGAGCCGCATGTGGCTCGCAAGCCGCAGTTTGCCGACCACTGCTCTAGTCTCTAATACTCCATGACTTCTCTTCAAATTCATTTTCATTGATCAGTATATTATATGCTCATGTGTCCACTTTCCACCCCCTAGTGTGTAAAGGCAGAGGATTTTTTGCTGTTTTCCATTTTGTTCTCTGCTATGTCCCCGACACTTGTTGAGCACTTAGTAGGTGCTCAGTAAGCAGTGGCTGGATGAGAGAGATGTTTGCTGAGTACAGGCCCCTCTGGGGGAACTTTCCATATATCACTCAGCAGAGTTGCTCTGGAGATGTTCCAGGTTCCCCCACTCTTTCTGGAAATTGTAAAAGCCACGCCCACCCCCCACTTCCCTCCCTCCTCTCTGTGGAAGTGGCCTCTCCTGTCACCACCCCATGGAAAGAAATGGCGGAAACAAGACACAATCCCTGTGATAGACAGGCTGCCTAGGAGACAGGAGGCTTCCTGAGTACTAGAGAGGAACCGCTGTCACCCTCATCACTTTCAGGAGTCATTCATCTCCCTCTCCTTGGGCGGGAGCCCTGTGGGTCTGGGGGCCAGCACCCTGGGGAATGAGCTTTCCGATATATCTCTTAACAGCCCATTTACATGTCATCCCTCAGGTGACAGGGCCCTAGTGCCCCAGGGGGAGGGGCCTCCCATAAGGACCTTCCAAGGAAGGAGGAGCTGGTGTTTCCTGCAGAGAGAGCTGTCCACTCAGAGGGAGGCTGCCATCCTGGCCAGGCCCTGGGAGCCAGAGCCCAGCTGCAGGCCCTGGGTCCCTTCATCCAGAGCTGGATAAATTGTAGGGGATGGAGGGAGAGGGGGGCAGGCTTGCAGAAGAATCCATGCATAACAGTTACAGGGATGCTGGCACTTCTCCCTCCACACACTAGGAAAGTCAGGCTCAGAGGCGAATCCTGGCCCAAGGTCACCTCCTCAGTGGCGGAGCTGGGACGATGGCTGACTCCGAGCCCACACTTTCCATCTGGCTGCCACGGGTCTCAAACGCACCTGCCTGCGAGGGCAGGCGGCTGGTGTGAATCAGGGACACCCGCCACGGGGCGGGGGTTGGGGCGGAGAGGGGCCAGACGGGGGGTAGTACCTCATTGAAAGTCACTCACATTTATATATATATGCCCTTCAATTCCATACAATACTAAGTAATCATTACCACTTCAAGGTATATGAGACATACACTGTTTCTCTCCCTCTTTTGGTAAAAATAACTTTTATCTTTTCTTAATTAAAAAGTAATGCATAATATGAGAAAATTTAAAAAATAAAAACAAGCAAGAAGACAACCCATAATTTACCTACCAGAAAAAAAACCCCAGGTGTTTTATAATTGACATAAAACATTGTATTAGTTTCAGGTGTATAACATGACTCGATATCCGTGTATATCGCAAAATGATCACAATAAACTCGTTAACATCCATCCCCATACAGAATAACACAATTATTTTCTATTTCATTTTATTGGTGTTTACATATTTTTTGTCTTTTACTTTAAAACGCTGTCCACACTTCGGCAGCCTGCCAGTCGTGAGACCCATGAAGGCATCTGCTATCCTTCCTGGCACTGGGGGGTGCTGAAGACACACCTGGAAGGCTGGGCTGGTCCACAAAGCAACGTGAGGTCAGGGTTCCTCGGAAGGAACTTGTAAAGCGAAAGGAACGGACTTAGGTCCGGTGACCTCTGGTGGTGCACAGGCTGGGCCATCTCGCCCCGAGCTAAACCCCCGCTCCCTGGGAGAACACAGCAGCTCCTATTTCAGCAGAACACACATTTCTCCACGCCGAGAGTGGCTGTGGCAGCAGGGGGGTGGGGTGTGGGGAAGACACACGTTCTCTGCCAGGCCAGCTGGGGATCTGTGCAGTGACCTACATTACTCTCCCTCCACCCCCGTAACACTCTCTCCCCTCAAGGAATGGCAGAACATGTGCTTTTCCCAGGCAGAAGTCCCTCTGCGGAGAAAGCCCGTTTTATTAACACGCTAAATGACAGCACGGCAAATCATTCCAGCCCTCACTGATCTCCGGGCCAGTCCGCAGAACGAGTTCTTGGAACCCAAGCCTCCCTTCACTGCGGTGCTTTCAAAAGCACACCTGACATCTCCCTCAGTGTCTGCTCCCATCTGCCACGTGGACACCTTTCTCTGGAATGCCAGAGCAACGCAAAGAAGCTGGGGCTCCCCAAAGAAGAAGGTGTTGGGGCCTGCCATTCATCCACTTCCCATTGTGGTGGGCGGATGCTGGTCCCCACCTGGGCCAGACTGATGCACAGAGTTCAAAATGGAAAAGAAAGAGCCGCTTCCTACTGCCCTACTTCCCAATGCAGACTGCGGCTGGTGTGAGCAAGAAGGCAGCGGGAGGCAGGGAGACTTGGAGAAAAAAATTCAACCTGCTGATTCTTCAACAATCAGATCTGTGCAGATGGCACAATACGGGGAAGTCCTGGCGCCCCTTGCAGAGCAGAGGAAATACTGACACAGTGAACAGAAAAAAAATGAGCAGGAAGGTGTGTGCGAAAGCAGGTCCATCTAAGATTGGACTCCAGGCTGCACAGCCTGAAAGTTTTAAGGAATATTTATGAAAAAATAAAACCAAAACACAAAACAACCCACACACCACCACAGGAAAACCACGAGCACATCTACCACAGGCTTTTATCCCCTGCCCATCTTCCCTCTCTCGCCCCAAACTGGACAGGGACCAGCTTTTCTGCAGATAGCAGTGGACTAGCTCACAGAGCATGCAAGGGAGCACAAGGGTGAGCCAAGTGCATCATGGGGAACATGCACGGCCGGGGCCTCACATCAAACCCTGTAGGAGAGGCTGCCTGCGCAGTGGGTGAGAGGAGGGCTGCAGGCAATGTGCCTGAGTGATGCCGCTTGAATACAAGAACAGCAAGGAAGGCTCCACTCCAAGACCAAGAGACAATGGTGGGGTGGGCTCCGAGGGGACACGGCAGCACTGTCACCGGGGCTGTGGCCTGTGGGGCTGAGTGGGAATGGCCGTGCGTATCTGCCATCCCGGCTGCCAGAACAACGCACCACACGGTAATTGTGGCGTAAGCACCTGGCATTACTCCTCCCAGCTCTGGAGGCTGCCGTCCAAGGTCCGGGTGCTGCGGAGCCGGTTCCAGAAGGGGCAGACTTCCCTGCTTGCAGGCAGCTGCCTGCGCACTGTGCCCTCTCGTGGCAGAGAGGCACTCCGTCTCCTCCTCCTCCTCTCACAGGGCACTATGTCAGCAGGCCCAGCCATTGTAAAAGACCCCAAATGCCACCCCAGGGAGGGCAGGACTGCAACATATGAATGGGGGGCGGAGTTTTCACGAACACACACTCCATAACAAAGAGTGACCAATTCTCATTTTCAAAAGGAGCTTGATATCTGATTTTTTAAAAAATCTGACACCTAATTGTTTGCTGTTGGCAATATTTCAATTAAGAAAAACAGGTAACAAAACCCCACTGGACTGGTCAAATAAAGCAGGTCCTAGGGTCAGGCTCAATCCACAGGTTGTGGGCTTGTCACCCAAACCCCAAAACATGGGCCCTGGCACCGAACAGCCCAGGCTGCCATGTGCTGGTGAGTGACCCTGGGGCCAGCCAGGGAACCCCTCAGCGCCTCACTCTCCTCATCAGTCTCAGCTGGAACCTTAGGAAGCTGTCCTCTGATTGACAATGTTGTTGTAAGGTCCCACCTAACAAAATGGAGGCACGGTTCACCCCCCCCCCCCCCCCGGTCGGCCCTCAGGGAGACCAGGCAGGTCAATGTTCAGCCAGTGCCCACAGCACATGCCCACCAGACGCAGGTGCGGAGGGAGCGGCACACGCCCCGTAAACACGACCGTGCATGTTCAGTAGCTACAGCGGATCTTTAGGGTCCCGAGTCACCCTTTGAAAGAGCCGAGGAAATCTGTCAAGATTTATTTTTAAAAAAATGCTTTTCCGGGTTTATTTCCTCAGCCACGAGAGTGTTTATAAAACCGGAGCTCTCTTAGGGTGAGGTCGGAGCTGGAACAGTCTCACTGGTGCTCGTGGGAGCAAGTACCGGAATTGGTCACACGGCAGTTCACCCGCTCCTCTCCCGTCCCCCACGTGCAACAGTCCGCACATCCCACCTGTAACCCCCTCCTCAGAAAGACGAAGGTGGAGAGGGCTGCTTGACCTGGATCTGCGAGGAAAGCCACCAGTGAAAGCTGTTTAATTACCTGGGTGCCAGCCCAGACCAACGTTCAGCCAGAAATCTCATGTCAATATTGTGTCGTTTGCCACCATCCCCGACTGAACCCTTTGTATTTTTAAAGGCCGTGAAATGGAACCTGTATTCCCTGTGCTAATCAGGCACACAAGGTTCCTCTCCCGCCTCTGATTAATGGCACCAGCAGGCTGAGGCTGCGCCACTCACCGGGACGCTCTCATTAGCACACGATTTTCACAACTCCAGCGGCCAATGTTTGCTAACGCCTGGCGGACCAGAGACACCAGCAGTGCCAGCAGGAAGGCCACCCGCTCGCCTGTGCGGGCAGTGTTTTCTCCTTTCTTAGTATCAGAGCCTAAGGATCAACGCTCTAACTCGATGTTCACCAGGGAACTTAGCCAAGCGCACAGGACTCGGGGGAGGTTAATTTCTGCTCACACCATGGGCCGGGCTGCCTTTCTGCGGGTGGGACTCCTAGGTGAACGCGCACCGCACTTTCCAAGCAGCGAGCTCCGGCCTGGCATCCCAGGCACCTGTCTATCTACTCGGAAGGCAGGGCATCTTCACACAGGCAGTGTGGCACCAGCACATGCCCGCACAGAAGCCTCAGACCATTAGGAAAACATCAGCAACCAGCGTGGCTACAAGTTCAAATGCCCCACACAGGGAAGAGGGGCAGTGCTGGGAATTCGCCTTGGAAATGTTGGGAAGTGCACCCCCAAAGCAGCGCCCCCACCTTCAGAAGCAGAAACAGGCCCCCTGTTATGTGACGGCTGCACTGTTAGAATGGATCACCCCCAGCCTCAGCACACCCTGGAGAGAGCGTCGAAGAAAGGAAACTCGTTTATCCCAGCAGATCACGGACTCCAGCCAGTGCTTCTCAATGACAAGTCCCAATCCCGTTCTGGGGAGCCACAGCCTTGCTATTGCTTCCATCTTGGGCTTCCATTATGATGACAACATGTTAGAAGTAACGAAACTATATTCACCACCTGAAGACTCTGTGAAAACCAAGGGCTGCTTCATCATCCCAGGGCTCCACATCCAAGGAGGTGAATGTCTCAGGCTGAGGGAGACTTGCCAGGACAGCGTGGACTCGCCAGCGACCAGGTGATGCACTGTGACGGCCACCTGCTTCAAGGTGCCGCACAAGCAGGTGTTTCCAGGCACCGTGACCCGAGAACCACGGGGAGGAAGAGGTCAGCAGGCAGACACCGGCGTGGCACATGCAAACACAAGACCTGCCACACGCCTCTGTGAGCAAAGCCTGGTCTCAGAAAATGGCAGCAGCACTGCATGGATAGCTATGAGTTGTAACCTCCTGTAAGTGCTTAACACGTAACTTCTTACTCTTATGAAGAGGTGTATGAATAAGGAATTTATGCTATTTTTAAGTCTGTCCATACATAAGCAATATTAACATGGAAATCATGTCAGTCGGTACCAGTGGGAGCCTGAAACTTTCCTTGGGTTCACTACCTGAGCTGAGAGACTTTCGCTCTGACCACCTGTGGGCTGCAGGGAACATGAGTCCCCCCTGTGATCGTAGTATATGAACGCATAAAACCACACAGCCCTGCCTTCCCTTGCAGACCTCAAATCTACATTTCTCCTTTGCAAACTTTCCTGAGCCCTTCAGGAACGCCAAAGCGCATGGCCCCAGTCTCCCTGTCGGCGCCTCCCCCGGCTCCTGGTGCACCTGGGCCCAGGGTGTCTAGGACACAGGCCATGGAAAAGGAGGAAGGATGTGTAGGCGGAGTGCGTCCCGCAGATGGTACTCACACGAAGAAGGGCATCAGCTGAACCAGGGTCTCCTTCTTGGGGCTGGCGGCAAACTCGGGGACGGCCTGGATGACTTTGTTCATGACGCTGCGCAGGTAGCTCTGCAGCTGCTTCCTCCGCTCCTCCACGAACTTGGCGTCCTGGGGAGACAGACAGGGGCGCTCCGTCAAAGCCTCCTCGCCAACACCACTCCCCACAGCACACCCCGGGCCCTCGCCACCAGACAGCTCACGTTTATCGAACGACCACTCACACAAAGAGCGTCTCAGGCTTTACACGTGTGACCACATGTAATGACAGGGACGATGCTCATGAAATTAGGTGGGAGCGCAGGTCCAGCGAACTCCCTCAGTGTGTTCCCAGAACCGAATGAAGTCTCAGCGACTCTGACGGTTACTGAGTAGCCGCCATGTGCCAGATGTGGTGCCAGGGACTCAGGGTGCACCAGCAAACACACAGTGTGGCCCTGGGGGGGGGGGGGGGCACAGATAAAACCAGTGACCACACAGGTCAGTGTGGAACTGTTAATCACACCAAGTGCCACCCTGGAGAGAGGGTGCTTAATTTTGCCTTCACAGGAATTTTCCTAAATAAAAACCTATTTCCACTATTTAACAAAGATTTCATTGATAAACAAATTCTGCCTTCTCTTGAAAACCTGGGAGATACAGTTCTCCCCAGTAGGGCCGCGCCTGGGCCCTCGCCTCCCTGCTCTGGGCCCCCTGCTCACCCCTCTAACACCCCCCCCCCCCCCCCCCCCGGGCCAGCTTCCCAGGCATGCACTCCTGCAGTCGCTCGGGTTGGAACTTGGACCTGTGTCATCACCTGATGTCCCTGTCTTGAAATTCTTAATAATTTTAGAACATGGGGCCCCCATTTTCCTGTTGCCCTGGGCCCCACAGATCCTGTAGCCTGTCCCATAGCGAGGGGCAGGGAAGGCCTTCTCTAGTGAGGCTCCCACTGCACCGGAGGCCAAGGGGGGCAACAGAGCAGAGCGGGAGGCTGAAGAGCAGGGTCGTTCATCCCACAAGAATAGGAGGAGCACACTCTGATTAATCTCCATGTCAAACTGCGGCCGAGAGAGGACTGGGCGGCGCATCCACGGGGTCCACAGATGGACCGGGCCTCACCCCCCTACACCCTGGGTCACCACAGAGCCGGCCCCGCAGGCCCCAGTGACAGCTGCTGGGTGGGGCCCCGCCCAGGATGGCCTGGTCTCTGAGAGCCCCCTAAGGCCCTGCCAAGGACCCCAGCATGGCAGGGAGATTCTTTAAGAAGTGCCAGATTTAGCAAATAAAGACACAGGATGCCCAGTGACATTTGAATTATGATAAGCAGTGAGTCATTTTTCAGTTTTCATAATTCAATATTCAATAATTCATAATTCAATAATTTTTCATTGTTCCACTGTGTACCACACGATAGAACCTTTCCATGCAATATTTGGGACACACTGGAACTAGGGAATTATTCATTGTTTATCTGAAATGAAATGTCACTGGCTGCCCTGCATTCACCTGGCCGCCCCCTGAGCACAGGCGGGAGGAAGAAACGCAGGGCAGGAGCCAGGCCATTCAAGGTCACAGCAAGGCCTCCAGCCCAGAGTCACTCCCTGGTGACGCCTCCGTGGGACCTTCCCTCTGCCCCCCACCCCACACTCCCCCCACTGAGTGGCAGCCATGGGACACTGTGAGGGCTGCTCCCCTCACGCAGGGTCAGCCCCAGGAGGGAGGGAAGGAGGACGGGGCTGGAGGGGGGCGTGGATGCCCAGAATGGGCAGAGTGGAGGCACGGCCAGGAGAGTCACAGGCCCTCGCTTGGCCCACAGTGGGGCCCAGGCCCTGTTCCGGGGCCTGAATGCCAGGCCCAGGCTGACCGCTGCCTGGAATGAGCTCATGGTTCATCATGTGCCTCCTCTACTCGATGGACAGTCCCAGGAAGGGGGAACTTTAGCTGTCTTGTTCACCCTACACTGCAGAGCCGAGCACAGTGGTCAGCGCTCACGAGCCCCCGCAAATATTTGTTGCAAGAACTAATAAATGTGGGGGTAGATTTAGGGCAGCGGTTCTCAACCTGTGGGTCGCGACCCCTTTGGCGGTCGAACGACCCTTTCACAGGGGTCGCCTAAGACCATCCTGCATATCAGATATTTACATTACGATTCATAATAGTAGCAACATTACAGTTATGAAGTAGCAACGAAAATAATTTTATGGTTGGGTCACAACATGAGGAACTGTATTTAAAGGGCCAGAAGGTTGAGAACCACTGATTTAGGGGAAGCGAGGCAGCCACCAGGAGAATGGCTTGGAGGCTGTTGCCAAGTCCAGACAAGAGATGGCAAAGACACCCACCAGGGAGTGGGAGGGAGAAGGCTGGCCTATGGACCAGCTCCCTGGTCCCAAACCCTCTGGGCAGGGAGCAAAGGGCAGAAGACCAGTAACAAGTGAGCAAAGACAGGGAGCTGGTCCCTCCGAGACCCCATTTGTCACATGGGGCTCCGGAGGAGAGCAGCATCGGGTGGGGGCCTGTCCCACTGGGTGGCGTGCAGAGCTGAGGGAGCCGTGGGTGTTTGTGAGATGTTTGCTTGGGCTCCTAGGGCTGCAGCTGAAACAGCACAAGAAGCGATGGGACTGAGAGAAGCCCGGCTCGGGGAGCCTGCCAGCTCTCTGTGACTGCTTAGGGGTCCTCGCTGCCGTGGCCTGCAGCCATTCTGTGCGGCATCCCCACCACGGTATTTCTGTCCGTTCGGTTTCCAGGTAGTAACAGAGAGCATGGGAGTGAGTCTTCATTTTCAAAAAAACATTCGGGACTATTTTAATGGAAGTATTTTTTCCCCTCCAAAAAGATTAATTTTATTTTGAGCTTCAAGAAGATGAAGGCGCCATCATATTAAGAGTAACTATTTTTGAAACAGCAGAATGTGAAGAAGATGACAAGCTATGGTTTCCAGGACAAGTGCTCAGGCTCCGACCCCTGCACTATTACAACTTTTGTGTCCAGCCCAGGGCATCTTTTCAACCACGTGCCCCTCTCCAAGGGGCCTCCCCAGGAGCCACCCTTCATGCGAGCTGCAGGTGGGCACAGGGACCTCGTCCCCAGACTTCCTACTTCCATCTCAGAAAAACATGGTTTTCCTAAGATAAGTAGAAGGCCCCTCCTTCAGGAGCAGCAAGCAGCTCGGCCCTGAGTACAGACGGCAGCTTCGGAGTCAGCGGATTGAAAGCATGTCACTGGCTAAAGCATCTGGAACACTGATGAGGCCTCAGGAGCCGGCACGAAGGCCCTCTGGCTCTGAGAGTCCCTCCCATGCCCAGTTCTGATGAGAGGGGGCACAAAGGAAGACAAGATTTCCCAGCATCTGCAGTGGGATGGGAGCCACAAACCAGGTGTGGGCAGGGCGACGTGAGTGGGGGTGAGGCAGCCATGTCCGGGTGCAGCCACAACAAGGAACATGCTGGGAAACCCCCTTTCCTCCCCAGCAACGTGTGGAGGCCACACGTGGAGAAGGCAGAACCACTGGAAAGGAGGGTGGCCAAAGGCACCTGGGCTGCCTGGGGCTGTGGCATGAATGGGAAGTGCCTCCAGGGCTGACAGCTTTACACCACCGCCTGAGGGGCACTCGTGCTAATTATGCTGATGCACAGGGGGCTCACTCAGTGCGGCTGCAGGGGCAGGCCCTGTGCACGCAGCGTGCCTGAGGGAATGCACGCGGCAGAGGATGCAGCCCTGCCTGCAGGGGCAGAGGCCAGCAGAGAGAGGAGACAAAAGCGGGGGCAGGGACAGAGTGACCAGTGCTCCGCGCAGCGGGTGTGGGTGAACCTCGGAGGGAGGAGACTCCGCCTGGAAGGCGGTGCTGTTGAGGGTGAGGCCTGCAGGCTGAGAGGCAGGAAATACACAGGATAAACCCAACATGGGTTAAAGACCTCAATGTAAGACTGGAAACCACAAAAACCCCAGAAGGAAACACGGGCAGTAAAATCTCGGGCATTTCTTGTAGCAATATTTTTTCTGATATGTCTCCTCGGGCAGGGAGACAAAGAAGAAAACAAACGGGACTGCATCAAGCTAAACAGCTGACACAGCAAAGGAAACATCAACAAAATGAAAAGATAACCCACTGCACAGGAGAACATATTTGCCAATGATACATTTGATAAGAGGTTAATCTCCAAAATTTATAAAGAACTCATACAACTCAACACAAAAAAACCCCAAACAATCCAATTTAAAAAATGGTAAAAGGATCTGAATAGTCATTTCTCCAAAGAGAACATACAGATGCCCACCAGACATATGAAAAGATGCTCAACGTCGCTAAGAGAGATGCAAACTTAAACCATAATGAGGTATCACCTCACATCTGTCAGAATGGCTGTCATCAACAAATCAACCATCAGTGCTGGTGAGGATGGAGAAAAGGGAACACCCATGCACTGCTGGTGGGAATGCAGATGGTGCAGCCACTGTGGAAAACAGTATGGAGTTTCCTCAAATAATTAAAAATGGAACTGCTTTAGGACCCAGAAATTCCACTTCTGACAATATATCCAAAGGAAGCCGAAACATTATTTCAAAAGAATATATGCACCCTTATGTTCATTGCAGCATTATTTACAATAGCCAAGATTTGTCAGGAGCCCAAGTGTCCATCAGTAGATGAGTGGATTAAAAAGCTGTGGTGTCCCGGCCGGTGTGGCTCAGTGGTTGAACTGCTGCCCTCTATTTTGTATAGAACAAACTGTGTGGTTGAAGGCAAAGAAACCATGAACCCCACCTTCCTAATGGGGAACAGAAAGTCCCGAGGCACTGAAAACATCCTCACCAGAGCGGCACAGAGGGCAGCAGCAGGAATGAGAGTAAAATAATGATACTAGTGATAACAGCCAGCACGTCTACCACAGGCCACTTCTGTCTTCAGCGTTGCTCCTGTTACCTGGGTTCACCCTCTAGATGACTTTCTAAGGAGGGTCTGTTACTGTCCCCATCTCCCAGGTGAGGAATGGGAGGTGCAGGGAGCAGCAACACTCACCCAAGTGCGGATCTGACAAATGAGAGACGTGGCATACAACCCAAGTCCTCCGCTCCATCACGGCATGTGCCACTGCCCCCCGGGGAGGCGGGGGCACTGGAAACCCGCC